ACCATGGGGGCTGTGGGGGCGGGGGGAGGGGAGGATGGGGGGTTGTTTCACGGGTGCTGAGGTTCAGCTCGGGCCGCTGAAGAAGCTCCAGAGCTGAACAGCGGGGATCACCGCACAGCAACACGAATGCCACTGAATGGGAGTGCCACTTAATTACACCCTTGGAAGTGGGTAGAATGGTTTTTTATGTTGTGCATATCTTACTACAATTAAAAAATTACAAAAAAAAAAGTGGCAGAATCGGGATCAGGATCCAGGTCTATTTGTCCCCAGCGCTACCTGGGGTGACTCTCTGGATCTGTGAGGGGGGCCCCCCTCAAAAAAACCCCAGAATTTATTTATAAAGAATTGTGTATTTATTCTTACATGTTCAACTTCAGTCGCCTTCCAAGCACTCTCCGTTTGATACTGTGCACCTATCAGGACAGTTTTTCCACGGCCCAGAACAGTTTTTGACCTCGTCGATTTTGATGCCTTTTAGTGCTTCTGCTGTTTTTTGTTTCACCTCTTCCACATTGGCAAAACGTTTCCCTTTGCGGGCTTTTTTCATCCAGGGAAACAAAAATGTCACTCAGGGCGAGATCGGGTGAAGAGGGAGGGTGGGGCACAGGGTCATGCTGTTTTGGGTCAGAAACTCCTGAACACTCAGTTCCATGTGCACGGGGTTCACAGTGCGCGTGAATCACCCGTCATGAAACGGGCAAAGGCATTGAAAGAGTCTTCAAAAAAAATTCACTGAAGCTGAATGCAGCCTCTGACAACAACGCCAGCTGCTGCACTGATACAAGCGGGTTCCTAGAACACTCACCTACGGGGGAACCTGTTTTACAAGGGGCCCACCCTTCAGAAGGTAATTCCGATGTTTTGGGGGTCTTCCTCCCCCTAGATGTTCCCCTTCCTAGGAAACTGCTGTCCATTTTTTTGGTCAGAATTGACCAGCTAAGAGAAAAAGCAGTGTTTTGTTGTTGACGGACACACGGAGACGAATTAATTCTATTTTCCAAACAGGCATTTGCGAGTGACGTTCAACTTGAAGGACAGGCTGACTCTGCCCACGCTGAGTCAGAGAATGGAGTGCTGAAGAGTCAGAACTCGGTGACTGTACTCCATCCTCTCCATTCCCCTCCCACCCCCATGACCTGTGCACCCAACTCATCATCTTGTGTTTGGTCAGTCAACAAACATTCACTGAGCGTTCCGATATGTGTGCTATTTCTAACACTGCCAAGCGATTCTGATGCCTGTTTGGTGTCCTGCAATTTAACTCAGTTCTGACATATCCCCCAGAAGAGAGCCTGGTGGTGGGTGGCTGGTCAAAGGCACAGCACCCCTCTGAGGGCTGCGCTGCCTTCTCCGGGGTCCTCTCGCCCTTCTCACTCCCTGCACAGTGAGGCCCCTCCCCGGGGCTCGGTAGTACCTGGGACTTCTCCAGGGTAACATGAAATCCGCTGGCAACTCAATTATTCTGTTCTTCAGCAAGTGTCACATCCTATTTATTGTGAGCTAGATAGCAGGGATATTTTTAGTGACCACGATCCCATTTAAATGAAAAATAATTGCTAAATTGTATTCAGCAACTATTATAAGCAAAAGACGGGGCTAGATGCTTTGTATTTGTTGTCTTATTTCTTGTGATAGGAGGTAGACTCTCCATGTTACAGATGAGGAAACTGAGGCTCAGAGAGTTGATTTCCCCAAGGTCATACAACTAATGAATGGCAGGGCTGAGGATCAAACTCAGGTATTTTGATTCCAATGGCTGTGCTCTTTTAAAAATATTTAAAAATGTATTGATTTTAGAGAGAGGGAGAGAGACACTGAGACATCGATGTGTTGTTCTACCCATCTATGCATTCATTGGTTGGTCCTTGTATGTACTGACTAGGGATTGAACCCACAACCTTGGCATATTGTGATGATATTCCAGCCAACTGAGTTACCAGGCCAGTGCCCATCAGCTGTGCTCTCATTTGCCACTAAGACTGCCCTGAGAGCTAAACACCCACTGCCCAGGAAGCCTAGCTCAGCCTAAGGAGTGAGGAAAGGCTGCCTGGAGGGAGTGAGACCTAAGCCAGGGTTAGCCAATGGGGTAAGGGGAGAGAGAATGGTTTGGAGTTATAGGACCGCTTGCAGGCCCCGGAATAAGAACCAAGGTGGCCGCAGCTCTGGATTTCAGGTGGAGAGTGGCAGGAAGCAAATAGATTTCACATCCTGAAGGACCTTGAGTTTAGACTGGGTTCTGATGGCAACGGTGGGGAGCCCTGGAGGGTCTCAGGAGGCAAGTTCACAAAATCAGCTTTGCTTTGTTAACTGTGCCTCTGGCCACGGTGGGGAGCTTGCTGCGTTGAAGGCGATGTGGCAAACCAGACCTGGAGTGAGATGCCTTGGATACGAATACCAGAATTTCCACGTAGGCTATACAAGTCACTTCTTCACATCGTTGACCCTCAATTTCTTTATTTGTAAATGGGATATAATAATACTCTAAAAGAGTTGTTGAGGGGAACAAATTAATCTAAGCAGAATGTTTAGTACCCTGGCAAACAGTAGGTGTGCAATAAATACTTACCACTCCACATGGAAGGAGGTGTTGAGCAGGGCCAGGCAAGGAGCGAGCTCTGCTTTTCTGACTTTCCTTTCTAGTAAGCCTCCCTGCATTGATTGCCTGGGGCCAGAATCTTATCAGGGGCTTTTGGGCTATTTTGCCCAAGGTCTATCGGTTTTCAGAGAGAGAACGCTCATCAAGTGCTTAGCACAGACCAGGCACACAGTAATCACCAGATGCTTGTACCTATTATTAAGTCAGAAAATGAAACTATCAGTAGCTCAGAAAAAAATAACAATTAAGCAATTATCAGTGTGCTGTTACTTTAGCATAAATGAGAAGCCAACTTCTTTCCTGGAAACAGGTTTTGATTGGGAGAAGGCAGCCTGAGATCTGGGAACTTGGATGGAGAATCCTGGGAAATGAAGAGCCGCTTGGGAATTTTTCTTGGAGCCAGTCAAAGAGCAGCAAATCTGATCATAGGTAATTAATTAGGTATTGCAAATTCAAATGGTTTAGGATTCCAGAGAAGGAAGTAGCTTCCGTCTTCCAGGCTGGAGAAAGGGAATAGGCTTCCTTGAAGAACCCTTGCCAGAAAGACGCCGTGAGGGGTGTGGGGGGGGTCATCCTCTTCCAGATGTTCATGTTTCCTCAGGGGGCATTTGGGGCTCAACTGGGAGAGGATTAATGAATTCATTAAGCTCCCACTATGTGTAGAGCTGTATTTGAATTAGAAAAAAAATTAAAAAGGAAGGCAGTGTTAAACAGTAGGGCAGAAGTCAGAGCTGGACTTGAATGGTGTGTCTGCCATCTACACTCTCCATGTGATCCTGAGAAGATCTCTTGTCCGTTTGGGCTGTGTGATGGTATTGAGCCTCTTGGACCCTCGGTGTCTTCATTTGTAAATGGGTACCACCCATTTCACAGTACTGCGTGAGATAATAAATACGAAGTGCTCAGTGCCTGGTGACTATTGTTACCTGATGGCTCCGTGATCCCTGCGGTTCCTTTCCACTCAATGCTCCTGTGCCTGGGACAAAGGCCCTGCTGGGAGGGAAGTGTGGGGGGGGGGCGGGGGAAGTGGGTGGGGGTGGTCTTGGCTGGTCCAGCGGGGAAGAAAAGGAGGTTATCAACAAGTGTAACACTGACATAGCACACTGACTGGGGAGTTGGCCGCTGGTCACGGGATGCTCTAGTTGGGGCAGGCTTTGGTAGAAGAATCTGTCCGCGGAAACCTCAATAAAGGCTGCTGATTAGTAAGGTGCGTCAGATTAGGTCAGGCAACTTGTCAGATGGCGAGGTTCATCCAGATGAAAAAATTCCCATCCTGGGAATTCAGACCCAGGCTTGGCTTTCCTTTCCCGGCCTGGTGACCTTGGGCCAGTCACTTTTCCTCTCCCAGCCTCAGTGTGCTGGAGAAATGGGGCGCCTCCTTCCACCTTCCTCTCTGAATGTATACGTGGGCGAAATGTCCACACAATGGACGTGAACTGCGTAATTAAGGGGCCAGCGAGAGCTATTTGTTATGCTAATAGGAGCACGAGGCAGGTTCCTAACCAGCGCTTTCACTCTGGTTAGGCGGTTCCTTCCACCGTAACCCAGGTTTCCAGCTCAAGGCTCCCGCCCCTGCGGGCAGGGCTCTGCCTCCAGGGCCGTTACCATTGTTCTTAGAAGCTGGGCGGCACGGGAGGACCCTCGCGGACCAGACCTCGCCTTTGGTCTCTCCCTCCGCCCGGACCCCTCGCCGCAGCAAGCCTCGGAATCAGTCTTCGCCCGATCTTTTCCGAGGAAGCGAGTCAGCACCAGAGCGCTCCCGAACGGTGGCCGAAGACGCCCCCGAGTGTTTACGAAGAATCCCGACCGCAAGTAGTCTCCGGAAAGAGCCGAAGGTGCTTCCCACTCTCGGCCTTCCGAGCCACTCCGAAAAGGCCCGAAGTTTGCCGAGCGGCCGTCCTGTCGGACTGCTGGAGGCGGCCGTAGCGCCATGTTGGATGCTCTGCTCGTTGAGTGAAGAAAATCCGCCGGCATCGCCTGAGCCCCGCTACCGAGAAGGGCGCCGCTTCCTCCGGGGAGGGGGATAAAGACCCCCCGCCGCCGGCCCATGAGGATATTGCCGTGAAAGGTCCGGTCTATCCGCCTCCTGCCCCCGCCGGGTCCGGCCCCCCCCCTGGGGTCGCGTTGTCACGGAGACCGGCAGCCGGTGGTGCTGGCCCGCGGGGCGGCTGCTGCTGCCGGCGGCGGCAGCGGCGGCGGCGACGGCGGCGGCGGGCGTGTGTGACCGGCCCCGGCCCTCTCCTCTACCTCCTCCCAGCCTCCCCCCGAATCCCTGCTCCCGCCGCCTCCCTGGGTTTGCCCCCATCCCGCCCCCCCGCTGCCCCCGGCCCCTGCACCCCGGCGCGCCCGGTCCCGCTCTGGGGGGGTTGGTGGCTTCGCTTTGCCATGAGTTTACCGCAGAAACCGGCTCTGAAATCAGGCTCAGCGGCTGCAGCAGGAACCGGACCCGGCACCGGAGCGGCGGCGGCGGCAGCGGTACCGCCTCCTCACCCGGCGGCGGCAGCAGCGGCGGCGGCGGCAGCGGCGGCGGCGGTAGCGGCCCCTCCTCACCCGAACATCAGGGCCCTCCAGACCCAGGCGCCCCAACAGTATCCTTTTCACTTTCCTGCCGGCCCTGCGGCTCTCTTCGCCTTAGAGCGGGGGGCTGTGGCCCCCCACCCCGCCCCCCAGACCCTCCTGCCGGCCTTACAGCCCAGCCAGGGAAAAGGGGCTGCTCCTCGATCCCCTGCACCGGGCTTGGCCGGAGCTTTTGGGGTGCCCTGGCAGCAGCACTGCGGGGGACCCCGGGACCTTCTGCAATACTGTGAGAACTAGCTCCGCTCGGCCTCGCCTCTGCAGCCGTTCCCTTCTGGAGCTGGGGGGTCCTTCCCCCTCCCACCTCCTCCCCTGAAGTCCCCCCACCCCTTGATCGGGCAGGATTTGCTGGTGCCTGGGACCCAGCCCGCGGGCGAAGGCTGGGCTCTGCCCGGGAGGGCTACACCCTCCTGGGCTCCCCTCGGCTCCCCCTGCAGCGGCTGGGGTGGGCTGCCCTCATTGTTATTGTTAATACATATTAAACTTTATGGGTAAATTTCCTCTCTGAAACTAATCAGCTCGTTTCCGAGGTAAGTTGGATTTTAAATCTACGGCGAAAATGTACGGAAAGCCTTCCCTCTGGCTAATTTTGTTGGCGATTGGGGGAGTTGTGATGTGGTTTGTGGTGGAACGTGATCTAAGGAGGAAATGTTACACCGGACACTTCCCTGTCTTTGACCTTTTCAAAGGAAGAGGAAGTTAACTGACATTACCGTTCACCCCCAAAAGTCTCGCTTCTTGGGAGGCGTGTGTCCTGCTGAGAATTTTAAAGGGTTTCAGTGTACTTTCCGTGCGCCTGAGGTCTAGAGGTGAACGGGGCTCCGGGCGCGCAGTCTCGTCTCGTGGTGACGGTGCCCGATTTCATGTTGTTTGCTCGCTTGTGTTGTAGCGTTTTGGACAGCTGTGATTGCAAAGCTTTGGTGACGAGGTGCTTTAGGCAGAAACGGGCCGGTGAAGGTGAAACATCGAGTCCGTGAATTCCGCGGAGGTTTAGAAAGGTTACTCCTTCCCTGACCCCCCACCCGCTGTCCTTGTGGAAACCAGTAAGGAATTGTTGGATGGCACTGGCGCTGTGCTCGTGCCTGTCATCGTGGGTTTCAACTTTTGGAGCGAGTGGAGTGTTGCAGCAGAGAAGAAACCTGACTGCTGTGAGGTCACAGATGATTTCAGTGTATCGGATTCTTGTCTGTATGGATCCCTTCGAGAAGTGAAACTTATCTTCCTTCTGGAGTCGTTTCAGGTCATTCTTTTGGTTTCTGTCAAGTAGCATTTTCTCTTATTTCAATATTGTTCGTCCACATTTCTTTCAGTCCAGGCAGTGTGGCTCAGAGGAAAGATTAATTCCATTCCAGTGTGATGTGTGTACTGATTTCATAATGTTTCTATCCTGCATGATTCTGTTCAGTTAGGAATTGTTCTCCGATGAGACTGCTTAGTGCTGATACCTTCGTGTCGCTCATGGAAAACCTGGTTAGTTTTGATCAGTATCCTTAGTTGCTTTCCCGTGGGGGCGGGGGGGGGGGGAAGGTTGCCTAATTTGACTACTTGAAGGTGGAGTTCACTGCTAGATCTCTTGAACTTATATCTAAACTTAATGCCTTGTGAGTTTAAATTCCTTTCTCATTTGTCATTTTTTGTCTTGACTGACCTTAGTTGGTTAGGGTTGTAAGTTTCTATACAGTGCTACCGGGTAAATTACTCCTCAGCAGCATCTTTGAGCTGCCTCAGCAATTAAGATGAAGCCCACGGTATGTGGTGTCGATGTGGAGTGGTGAAAAGGTCTGCAGTGCTGAATATGGCAGAGCTTGGCGAATTTGGTGGCATCTTTCATGGACACAAAGCTGTGACTTACCCGTTTCAAGTAGCATTTCAGAAAGGAAGGACTTAATAATAGCTCTGAGTTAGTTGCATTATAAAAGTAGTTACTCATACTGCAACAGTTGTTAAAGAGGATAAATTTAATATGTAATTTCCAGTGGAGACAATCTTAAATCTATTGTGGTAATATTGGATACTTGATTTTATGTGACTTTAAGTTTTTACTTTGCCTCATGTCATTGAAGCTAAAATTAATTTTCTTCTTGATGTATTCCACAACCCTGTTATCTTCTCTTGGCTTTGCACACTGGAAGGTTGCACTTGCTAAAATCTAGAAGTTTGTATAATAAGTGAAATAGTTACAGATTTCATTAGAACATACTAATGGTGAAATATTACCAATGGTAATGGGCGAAAAAGAACAATTTTGCTTTTCAACCCTGAGAGGGTGTGGGAATTTGTATTTGACAATAGTGGATATTTGTGATACGTTGATATATGAGGGTGGACTCAGGAAAACATGGAATTATCTATTGCAGGGCCGGCCCCTTGTACAGGCTTTCCCCGCCAGGTGAGTGTTCTAGGAACCCACCTGTATCAGTGCACCAGCTGGCGTTGTTGTCAGAGGCTGCGTTCAGCTTCAGTGAATTTTTTTGAAGACTGGATGCCTTTGCCCATTGCATGATGGGTGATTTACAAGCGCACCCGCCCACACCACCCACGCTGAGTGTTCAGCGGTTTTTGACCAAAACCAGCATGTCCTCTGTGTCCCACCCTCCCTTTTCACCTGATCTTGCCCTGAGCAACTTTGGTTTCTCTGGATGAAAAAAGTCCTCAGAGGGAAACGTTTTGCCTGTGTGGAAGAGGTGAAACAAGAAAACGGCAGAAACACTGAAAGGTGTCAGAATTGATGAGTTCAAAAACTGTCATGATCAAGGTAAAAATGTAGTGCATCAGGTGGAGAGCACTTGGAAGGTGACTGAAGTTTGAACATGTAAGAGTAAATATACAGCCTTTAATACATAAATTCTGGGATTTTGGGCCCCCCCTTGTACATAGAAGCATCAAGACTGCAGTACACAGCTGGAGTTGCTCTTTCTGTGGCTTGATTGAATCTCCAGTTCCTCAAAATACATGGGTGCAGTTGTGTTCGAATTGAATTAGTAAGTTCAGCTAGTGTTTTAAATTTGTCAAAATACTAGAAGGGGGTTCACTTGACAAGGTGTCCATTATTTGTACTGAGTGTTCAAGTGACAAATCATAAATGAAGGGAAGTGTCAGTGATAATGGATTTGAATTTAAACTGGAACCTGCCTAAGGCAGACATCAGTATTGCATGGCAGGCGCACGAGGCCATTTCAGGTAGAGAGGCCTTTGCATAGAGGCAAGGGGTTGAGGCTGGTGGAGGGTGGGCAGGGGTATGGGGGTGAAAGACAATAAACTCTGCTATGAAAAGTGCTAATGGCGAGGGAGAAATATGCTTAGAGTTTTCATCACATGATCCAATGTGAATAGTTTATAACATTGGCACTGTAGAATACTTGCCTTGAAATAGGCTCACCCCACTTCCTAGTCTGAGTTTCCAGGAGGCTCTGTTGAGAATCTTAAGAATGATTCTTAACCTTCTCTGGGTAACAAGCAACTTTGATATTTTGGTGAAAACCTGTAGACCCTCTCCACAGAAAACTGTCCATGCACAGGAAATCTTTTACATTTTTAGTTTGTGTGTGTGTGTGCACATGCGCACCTCCACTCTGTTAAAAGCTTAGCCCTTTAGATGGAAATTGCTCACTCACGGATCAGTAAAGATAAATGAGTTTGACTTCAGGTGCCCAAATAGTTCTGACTTAATAGAACAATTTTGTAGTCTGTTATGAACACACAGTGTTCTCTCTATTTATATGAAAAGACTCCAGAGTGTAATTTCTCTCAGGACTGCTGACACTTCTGGGGAGTCTAGTTACTGTTTTGGGGCAGTCAGTTTGGCTTAAGAAAATGAGGGCAGTGGGTTATTGGAAGGAACTAAATTTGGTGAAGGCCTGTGGCAATCTGAAAATGACCTGTGTCCTTAGCTATTTTGTCTTAGATATGAATATATTAAAAATAAATATTTCTCCTCCCTTTTTTGGGTATTATAATTTTTAAAAATGCTTTCTGTGTTGATTTTTCAGTTTAATTTTATAGGCTGAAGCCAGTAATGTTTGCTTTCTTCTTTTGCCTCTTTACCAAAGCTAAATCTGAATAATATTAATAATAGCATGCCTTTAATGAGTGCCTGCTGTTCTAGGAGCCATACATGCATGATTTTAATTCTCAGAAGAACCCTAATGATATAGGTACTGTGTTTTACAGATGAAGAAACAGAAGTCGAGTAACATTCCCAACGTTGTCTATCTAATAAGTGGTGGTCTGCAGTTCAGACTGTGCTATGACTGCCTTATACGGTAGCACGCTACTCCTTACCCTTACCAAGTCTGCATACAGGAATGGGAGGAAGGATACTTTCCCATATTTGATAGCTAGGGCAAGGTCTGTAATCCAGGTAAGAAGCGCTGTGGAGTAATCTAGAACGCAGTGATTCTGTACTGTATTTTAATTAGTTTACAGCCACATAGTGCTAGGCAAATAGGTTATCTTTACTGAGCTTTAAAGCATAGGAGTAGGCCCGCCACACTTGGTTTAGTGCATGTTTTTGCTCGTTCAGAAGTTAAGGTCTCCAGCAAAATAACATAACTAGCAGGTAGAACTCCGTAGCTCATGCAGTGACCAGCAGTCCCTCTACTCCCAAGCCCCACCATTAACAAAGGTGGATCTTTGCCCCTAGAGAGCAGGTCCTTTTTTTTAGCAAAGAGAGAGACCTATGTGAGATGGAGGTAAAGAAGGAAGAAAGTTGTTCCGATGACTGAGCCATGTGGGCTATTGTCTTTGCTGCTGCTACTCCTTGTCCTAGGCTTTCATCATCAAAGGAAGGTACAGTATGTTCTGTCAAGCTAAGAATTTAAACTGCTGGTATGTTGTTTCTCCATGCTGGGTTGCTGATAAGATTTTTACAAAAGGGATACTGCTGAATATATGTTTGGAAACTGTTTTAACTCATAAATAGTATTGCCACATTTTAGCCATTTATATTGAGACTTCAATATAAGTGGCAATTTGTAAAGTTTATTCATTTATTCAGCATCTACTATGTGCCAGA